GATACCATATGTTTTCACTATTATGTGGATCCTGAGAAACTTAACAGAAGCCCATGGGGGAGAGGAAGGAAAAAAAAGTTAGAGAGGGAGGGAGCCAAAACATAAGAGACTCTTAATAACTGAGAACAAACTGAGGGTTGATGGGGGGTGGGAGGGAGAGGAGGGTGGGTGATGGGTATTGTCGAGGGCACCTGTTGGGATGAGCACTGGGTGTTGTACGGAAACCAATTTGACAATAAATTTCATATTAAAAAATAATAAAATAGTGAGCCAAAGAAAGACATGGCAAAATTTGCAAATGAAGTAAGGCGGTAGATTTAGATGTAAATGAATTCTTGACATATGGCCAAGCCTATGGTGAGGTTATTTCAATTATATGCATGGATAAAGAAAATGTTAAATTTGGTATTTGTAAAATTAATTTCCTTTCAATTTTTTTTCATTTTTTGTCCATCTGAAAGAGAAAAATGGAGAGACTCAGTAACACAATAGAAAAATAGGAATCGAATAGAATCATGAAAGGAAGAATTCTTCTGAATAATTTTAAGACATTTAACCAGTTTTATAAAATATATGTTGTAGTTGTATTTTATATTATATAATATGTGAACATTATACAGTGAATTATATACAACAAGTCTACGAGACATACACAATCTCCAGTTACAAATGACGGGCATACATGGGGTATCCAAAATGTGAATCATCAAGAAAAGCAATAGTGTACAAACACTGGTGACTACTAATTTTTCTTTCTTTCTAATTGTTTTGAAATGTTTCCTTTTCTGTTATAATTTTCTCTTCCTAGCTTGGCCCTAGCTTTGTGGTTTTAAAAATTTTATCTGACATCATATCCCAATGATTCATCATAACATAATATAGGACAAGGATCAATGTAAGATTACATACACATAATATGCATACACCTGTGTGTGTGTGTGTGTGGGGGGGTGTTTACATAATGTAAGATTAGACCGTCTGACCATTGGGTGTGTTTGTGTATGTGTGTATGTATACTCACATGTGCATGCACATCTTGAAGATCATTGTATGATTTCATTTTATGTTAAGGGTTCTTCAGAGAGCTTTTATTTGATATTAGTTCTTTCTCCAATTATCACATTATGCTTAAACCTTTGAAAGGATTCCCCTCTTGATATATTTTAATAAAAGAACCTTTAGAGCCACATACCCTCCATCATTTCTTCATAGGCTGTAGATTATCTTGGCTTCTATTGCCTGAAGACTTATATCTAATGGAAACATTAAAAATACCATGTCAGGTTCCAGTAGTGGGAAATAGCTGGAAGTTATAATAGATCAAATGGAAGACAGAGTTTTACTTTTAAATTAATAATTAAATTCAGAATTCTCTTTGATATGTTAGTGTTGAGGCTAATTAGAGTATATGATTTACAGTGAGGCATGATGAAAATAATATTGAATATTGAATATTATACAACTTGGATATTAATCTGAACTTCACTGTTTATTTGCCTAATGACCTTGAGTAAGATAGTTTCAGCCTGACTTCTCACAAGTTTAAGTGTGTGGTTACCAGTATCTTTACTGCCCAGCTCTTTCTAGTGTTGTCAGGATGAGATGATATATGTTAAAATATTATGTAAACAATGAAGTTCAATATTAAGGTGACTACTGTAAATAATAGTTAATATGTGCCATGCACTATATTAAGTCTTGTCATAATTTTTACAACAGTTTATGAGACAAGCAACATTCATATTCTAGTTTTACAGATCAGAAAGGTGAGGTTCGGAGTGTGAAGGACACATGATTGGGTTCACACTATAGGTCAGTGGGAAAGGCAAGATTTGGATACTGGTCTGTCTGACACTAGACTTGATGTTAATAATTGCACAATTTTTGTCACTCACTTGAATAATAATTGCTACATAGAGTTATGCATGGAAGTAAAATTCTCTTTATTATCACATCTGAATTCTAAATGAGAAAATGAAATAATATTTATTTTTCTTAAAAACAGAATGCCATAGAGTTCTAATCATCCAAATGTGTTCTTCCTTTAGAATTTAATTATCTTGGATCCACTCACAGTGACTGAGGAAGAAATAAGACCATCACTAGAAAAACGTCTTGAAGCCATTATCAGTGGGGCTGCACTGTTGGCTGACTCTTCCTGCACAAGAGATTTCCATCGGGAACGGATTATCGCAGAATGCAATGCCATTCGTCAGGCTCTCCAGGACCTGCTTTCAGAGTACATGAACAATGTAAGTAACTGGTTTTCCACCAACCCCTTACAATGGGTATGTACTGAGGTTCTTTCTGTGTACAAATGTAATAATTTACAAATGAGTACATGATTTTACATGGTTTGGCTTTCTGAATGGGTTCTACTCACAGAGTACAGCTTTGAAATAGGAATTTCTAGGGATGAGATCCAAAAATATATAATTGTTTTATTTGAGGAAGTATTTAAATATTAGTTGAAGAAGGGAGTCAGGATTAGAGAAAAGAAACTGGAGTTGCACATCAATAAAAGGAAGATGAAAAAATGGGAAGGTTGTTCAGGATTACATTGGTGAATAACAAAATTGGAATTTAGATAGTATTAGATAAAGTGAATGCTGCAGGAATCAGGGTTCAGTTTTGAAGGTGTAGAGTGCCTGTAGTTTGTCATTTTGGCTCCTAAGCTTTTTCACAAATGATATACTTGTATAATTTTTTGCAGTTTGACCTACCTCTTAGGAATATTATAAATGTTGTCTAAATTTAGACAAATGCAAAAGTATTTGTTTCAAGATCCTTTTGGTTTCATTTCATATATATTCATATGTGATATATTCAGTTCATATGTATTTTTCTACATCCATCTATGGAGTACATATGCCAGTTTTTACACTCAAATTATTGCTGTTTTTAAAATGAACAAGAAAGCATTGAAGACATTGTCAACCATATATTGATCATGAAGCCCCCTTAAGTAATAGAGCTAAATAAAATGATTTATAATATATATATATATAATATATATACAATATTTTGTTCATCTTCTTTATAAATGGAATAGTTCAAGAATTATGAGAGTACATTTTGAAAATTATTAGTTACAAATCATATGACTTTGGGGTATGAAGTTGAAGATTTAGGATTGTTCAGTATAAGTAATTTATGTGAATAATTGAAATGTGCTAAAATTAGTTAATGAGTTTTAAGGCTCCTTCTGCACATTTGATGTATCTTCATATCTTAATATTTGATAACTTTGGCTCCTGACCAAAAGTCTCTTGCCTGTCAAGAGATCAAAGTTGTAAAGCAGACTTTGTTAATAAGAACATGTTAGTAATGTCATGTCCTGCTTCTGAAGCTAGAATGTCTTCAATTTTGGCATATAATATCTCTTTTTTAAATTTCTAGTATTTAAAAAAAAAATTTTATGGAAAATTACGACAAAGCGTAAGAAATAGAAAATTATATAAGAAAAGCATGAACCCAGAAAGCATATAATACATTTTTAATTAAAGATTTTTTTCTAATGTTTGTTTACTTTTTAGAGAGAGAGAGAGAGAGAGAGAGAGAGAGAGAGAGAGAGAGAGAGACAGAGTGTGAGCAGGGGAAGAACAGAAAGAGGGAGACATAGAATCTGAAGCCGGCTCCAGGCTCTGAGCTGTCAGTACAGAGCCCGATGCAGGGCTCAAACTCATGGACAGCGAGATCATGACCTGAGCTGAAGTCAGATGGTTAATTGACTGAGCCACTCAGGCATCCCTAGTTAAAGAGTTTTTAAGGGAATTTAGCAATTATAAGAAACTCAAAAGATAGTATTTTATCGGATTTCCTTCTCCCATGATCTATAAACCATTAAAATTATTCTCATATTTATACATACAAATAAAATTGCATATAAGTTTATTTTAATCTATAAAGTATAAAATTATAGATAAATTAACTTTTCAGATATAAAGTTGTTTTATTCTTTTAGATGCAAAAGCAAACAGATACACATGCACAGTCACCCACATACATAGTTGGGGATGGCAACATAATTGTAGAGCTTGATGCAAAATGAAAATGCAAGTACTCTTGTTTAAAATCAGGGAAAAAGCTTTTTTTCCCCTCATAGTCTTGATTGACCTGAGAAGGTGATTTTTACTTGCTATTTAATGTTAGGTTCTCTGTTACATAGTACTTGTGAGACCCTCACAGGTGTCTCTAGCCCTGCCCCATGACCATGACCCACTTTGCCTTGTGCTAAGGCCCCCACTGGGAGTGGAGGGTGGCAGTAATTGTTGGGTGGGAGAGCAGGTGGCTAAGGACTTGTGCCCGAAAGGCAGAACTGCTTGTGAGTCTAGGGCATATGCTCCATCACTAATATACACAAATCCCAAAGTAAAATTATTAAACATTTCAAGACTGTGGTAGCAAAGCATTAAAGGCCAAGCATGGGGTTCCTTTCTGAGTATGAGGCCCTGAGTACAGTCACAAGCCCCTGAAACTGGTCCTGTACATCATAAATACATACCACATAAGTGATTTTATGGCTCTCTTCAACTTTGCGTTAAAAACTATTTGAGTTAAAAACTATTTATACCAAAGGTGAAGTGATGAGAGCATTTTGCCCTGGCTAAAATCATTAAGAAGGTGCATTGTCTCTAGATATTTGTAAACAATAATAAAACGAACTGAAAATTCATCGGTTTTTGCTATCACTAAACTCTAGCAATTCTAAATGTTAAGTGATAAAGTGTTTTTCTCAAAATTCTTTTGTTTTTTTAAGTTCTAAACAATACTGTGGTTATAACTGACTTTTAATGATATGTATGAATGATTCAAATTGCACATCTTATGATTATCCTTTAATAACCATGACATTCCTTAGGCATTTAAACAGCAGATTCAAAAGAAACAATGATGACACAATGATTATAAAGAAAAAGAACTAGAAATAGAATCACTTCAATTCTGATATTTATGTTATCACTCAGAATTTTTATTTAAATTTAAAATTATAACAATAAAACAGAATTGCTAGGGGTAATATTTGTATTAGGTAAATGCAAATTTCATGCATGTGAAGTTCATACGTGAAATCCTTTATTGAATTTTAGCACTAACTGAAATTTGTTCTTCTTTTAAAATTTGTCAATTACTTTAAAGTTAAAGAACAAATCAGAAAAATAATGATTATTACTGAAAAGTAATTTTGTCATGTAGAGGAGACAGGTGTTTAAATATTTACTTCAGGTATAAAATATGTTAAGTGAGTCACTGAAAAAAATATATGTGTATATATATATATATATATATATTTCTTACTGCTATTTTTCTTAACAAGGGTTTACTCTGATAGTTAGTTTCAAGGCCCATTTCTCAAGAACACGTAAACTATTTATTTATGTTACTAATATCCTTCTCTTCGGTATGTTGGTTTTAAGACAAGGTAAGTTCTATGTTAGAAGAATGAAGTGGAAAGGAACTTTTTCATTTATAATATGCAAATAATTAAGATCAGAGGTAAGTACCTTTTAAAAAATCATGTCCATAAAATTATCTTAATTTTTTTTTAAAGTAGACTTAGAAAAATTTTATTTAATTGATTAGATCATACTACTCTTTATGCTTGATGGAGGCTGTTTTTTTCTTCCTTCCTCCTTCCTCCATGTTTCCTCTTCTCCTCTTCTGGCAAAGGAGAGTAAACACCCCCTGAAATTCATTTCCCTCTTGGCACTTCCCATTTTTAGCTCTCATCTCTGTTGGCATTCCTGTGTTTATTTGTGTGCCTTTCCTGGACAGGAGCTCCAAAAGAGTGAGGACTCTCTCCCTGGCCCTTAGCACAGAGACTTTCAGGTAGCAGGTGCTCAGTGATTATCATTTGGTTACAGGTATATTGAATTTAGTACTTGCTTCTTCTCAGTTTTTAAAATTAAAATGGACAATGTGCCTAAAGCAGTTAATTTATATTTATTTAATATATTAAATAATAACCATGGAGAAAATATGGGGAGGATTAATGGTAAGAATAGAAACCTGGGAAAGGAAGAAGGGCACAGAGGTGAGAAATCTGTTCTTTGGGTGATCTTAGTATATTTGTATATTCCTTTCTCTTAGGATATAATGTTAAATACTTGTTGAGGAGGGCATTTTTTTTTTTCAGGAAATGAAAGACTTATTACGTGTGGGTAATATCTGGCGATCTGCCCTAATGTTGGTGTAGAAGTCAGAGCAGGAGGAGCTAAATTTATGAAGTGGTGGTCTACATGATTAGAAACCCATTTATATGCACAGTATATTAACTTTCTATTGCAGGTAAAACCCACTAATAATAAAAAAAATATGAATTTGTAGTATTATGAAAAAGTACTGCACAAGCAGTGTAATAGTTCCTTTTCATATGAAAGTACAGAATTTTAGGCCTAATGCTAATATCTGACCTAGCCAATTAATATTTGAATTAAACAGTACAAACCAATCTGGAAAAACTGTGGGGTATATTATCAGAACACGTTTCTAGGTTTATTTTTATTCCAAGTTTATATCAGAAATGACGCTTCTTTATAACTGTTTCATCTGCTTTAACGAAAGGGAATGCACTTTCCTGGTATTAGCTGAACTCAAACCTTTCTCAGAATTTGCTTAAAAGATTTTAGATGGCTCTTATACTTAAGTCCTCAACTTTCCAGTTTAAGGAATGTTGTGTCTCATTTGGTGGGTCTGGTTTGCTTTTCAGATTAGTTAGGAGCTTTTCTATTGGGCTGTTGATAAAAAAAAAATGCTTGGTAATTATTGAGACACAATAAAGATAACCGTAAAAATTTAAAGCAAGATGAACACTCATAATCTGTGCATCTTTTATATGAATGTAACTTCAAGGTTTCAAATTTTGTTAGTCTGTTGGGTACAGAGAAGTTCAGCAGTGGGAAACGAATGTAGCTTATGTTTCCTCAGGCGCAATCCGCATGATCAGTATGAATCTAGGTGACTTTACTTTCTTAAACAGATCAGTAAGTCTTGATCATTTGTTTTTTTGACTGAAGCTCTATGTTTAGTAAGTTCAATGTCTTGTCACATTAATAAGAAATTAGTAGGTAATGAAACCACATGGATCTATAACAGGTAAAACAGTTGACCACTTAACACTTTAGTGATTATATATGATTGCTCTAATGTTTTCCATAATATATGGAAATAATTATTTTACATCTATAGGTCAAAAGTCAGACATAAGTTTCACTGGGCCAAAAAAGGAAGTGTTAGAGTGCTCCAATCTTTT